TGTGTAAATGAGTAGGAGTGTCGAGATAGTGCAGATAATAGGGAATAGGAATATGGTCTACTCATAGTTTTCGTGTGAATTAGAGAGAGAAACATTTCGGAGTGTAGACGAGAGATAGTCAATTTTTTCGTTGACGTGAGTGACATACTGTTGAAGTGAGCAAGGAGATGGAAGAGAGAGGCATACAGACAGAGAACATACCACCTGACGGACGGACAAGAGGTTAGTCGGCAGAGAGGCAGAGGGAGAGAATTTGAATTCAGCAATCAGACGATGGACGACGCCGTCTTTTGAGGTTGTGATGCTCGCTCATTCCGTCTGAGGGATTGGGAGGGTGGGGGAGGGGTAATGGGTAGTCTCGAGGGTAAGTCTCGAGGGTTTGCAATGGTGCATATGGTCTTTTTCTATTAGATGTCATATGGGCGAATATTTTTGCAATATTTTGCATGGTTATAAGTCTCTGAAAATGTGTACATTTGAAGGGATAGAGGTGGTTCGAGGAGGGGTCAGACGTCACTAAAGGTCATAGTATCGTGTCAACAAACAAGAAGAACAGAGGAAGAGGTGAACGAGTAATTATAGGAGAAATACGGTGGAGCAGACTGGATGAACCGCAAGCGGCAGCCTGTTGCCCTGAACGTTACAGTCGACCCGATCTGCACGAGTACGAACGGCAGCTGCAGCTGCAGCACTCAACAACTCCTATATCGTATCAACGCGATTGCCAACAACGACAATTTCATTCAAAGGAGATTTCCTCGTGCGATTCGAAGAAAGAGACTACGGGAGAGATTGGATGCGACAGTTGCACTCCCGCAGCTGCTACATTTAGCAAGCAAAAACTGGAAAAATTGTCGCAACGTCAACGAAGTTCAATTTTTGCAATTGCGAGGTTAGTTGCTTCTTCAGTTCTTCCTTTTCTGTATATGCATCCATTCATAATGTCATAACAGTGTGTTTGTTTCCCTTTAATGGATGAAGTTAACTTAATTCCTTAAAATGGACTTCTTTTCAATGACTGCTATTATTTAAAGTTACCAGTATTTTCTTTCAAATAATCGAGAAACTTATGTAAGGAATATTACCATTTTTACATTTTGATATAAGCTAGAAATGAGAAAAACATTGGTTGACTTCTTGAGTAGACTTTAGGAACTAGCTTAATAATGGGCATCAGTTGCTCGAAATATTCTCGAAAGCATTGGATACAAATCATAGTTTAATTAAAAAGAATATGTAGTGCAAGTTTATCTGCAATATTTCATGGAAAAATCTTATTGCAAAAAGATAACTGATTATCATGGATAACTATTCACAAGGTTTCATTTGATCGGACTTGTTTATGGTCGAATGATCTGTTGAGAAACGTGCTTGGATTCATTCTCGACATACTTGAACCCTCCAAGAATGCATCACACTACGTGTTAGCATCATCCAGCTGTTACGCTTCCTCTCGCTACTGTAGCGTATTTTCTCAGTCTACGTTACTCTTTAATCCTTAACTATGAGAGAAGTTCATAATGGGTTCAAAAATTGACCAATATTTTCGTGTAATTATTGTTCTTTTTTTTATTCATAATTACTGATCTCCTCACTTATTATAGGGCAAAGTTGAGTTCTTTTGTCAGTCGACTAAGTATAAGTAGTGGAGCGGGATGTGCAACAACACGGACTCTAACTAGCACCAGCAACATCACTACTGCCAACAACAGTGATTTGTCATCTGTCATCTCATTCCCTTTACGACAAAATTCCCACCAGAATATCATTCAGGCGAATCCGCATTCCGCTACAGCCGTGTCAGTTGCAGCACCTGCATTATTATCATCATCAGTACAAGCAAATACTTCACTTCCTACTGTCACGGTATTTTCAAATTCTGATATTTCTGATTCCTGCCACAACACTGGTAGCACTACTTTGCAAAAAGAGCTACACTTGATAAAATCACCGGTAAAAACGTTTACTTTACCAAGTGACGGTAACGAATATTTGTACCACTTGCAAAAGCAGAAACCAACAACTTCTTCAGCATCTTGCAGCTTTTTCCAGCATACTAATTATCCAGCAGCTGTTTTCCTGACCGACGGTGAAAAGAGTTTTTTTCGCACGGTATGGTAACTTTTTTGTGTTGATTTTTAAGCTGCTTTTCAGTGATAACTATTGTATTAAAGATTAATTTAAGTACAAAAATGAGACTTTCCTGTACCTCAGGGCATACCAAAAACCCACTGTTTCAACCTTCACTAGACATATATTTTGTAGTTAACATGGCAGTAATTTTGTTTGAATCTGATAAGCTAAAAATTTTCTTTGTCCCTTTAAGCAATTCACTGTTCTTTTATTCCTTTAAGCAATTGTTCTTCATTTGTGTTTTATCCATTATTCTTAGATCTGATCTAACAGGCATTTCTCTCTGATAACATTTCCTTCATTTTATGCAGGTTGCAAAAGTATTGTAATTTTCGTCCAATAATTGGCTTGTTTATTTTGTTTTCTCACTATCGACGCTAAAGAATCGAAAATTTTCGACTTTGTAATAAGGTTTTTTTTTTCCTTTTTTTTTTTTTTTTAGGAATGACAATCATTTTAAAATTCTTTGATGGCAAGAATTAAGTTTAGCTCATGCTCTTTTTTTTTTTATGAATAACTAAAAATTGTTGAATAAGGTCGAACATTCCTGTAGCTGAATCGATTCACCAAATTATAAACATCGTTTAATACTGCCATGATTGCAGTTGAGAGCAGTAATGTTATGTCTACTCCTTTCCTCATTTATTTGTTCACTTTGCAATCCTCCAATTTCATCGCTCACATAAAGATTATCAGACATTACATTTGCGTTAATTACAAAAGTAATTTTGCACTAAAAATAATTTATTAGATTTATTCAGCATTCATCTCAGGTCAGTGATGTGACCACACGTCAACTTATCCGCACGCGAATCTTCTCGTTTCTAAAAGGATTATCATGTTAACTATTAAGTCATTTTTTCCATTGTACTCTTTGTTAGATTCCATTGGATAGAACATTTTCGGTGAAGTTATTCCAGAAGGAGTAGAACAGCACTTATATCGTCTTATCGTCTGGTGATTTATAGACGGCTGAAAATTTTTTTCGTTTGTAACTAGAAAAAGAGACCAGACATCTCGTCATAAATATTGGAAGAGGTGAGAAGGCAGAAAATGGGATGAATCTTTCATAAAAACGGCGACAGGAAGACCTGTAGTCGTCTTTCCTTCCGTTTTTCTATATTTTTCCTACATTTTTCATCCATTCTTTCATCTGTGGTTTGTTGGTGGAGTGAAGAAAAAATTGCCTTATTATTAAAGAAAATGTATAAAATTTACGGTTCTAAATATTGTGTAGTGATTCATCCCTACACTGTTGACAGAATTTGAATGCATCTGGACGATAAAACGAATAGATTTTTGATTTCCAGACTAACAAATTTGAGCAGCATTTGAATCTAAAACCTAAAGCAAAATGGATTGAAGTAATTATTTTATCAGCTAACTAACAGCGAACGTGAAAAATCCTATATTAAAGTACTGGAAAAGAATGCTTGATTTATTTATCAAAAATATAGGGAAAATTATAGACATATCTGCATTAGAATGAGGAAAACAGCAAAAAAACAAGGAAAAAAGAAACCATTTTCTCGACATTATCTGATTGTTGCTGATTTTCTGTGATAGCATATGTATAGTCGGTTTTTGTTTGAAGTAGATTGCTTAAAGCTTTATGATTCATTTCTTCCTTCCTCGTGACATTTCCTTCCAAGAATATTGATTGTTTGTTTATTACTTGTAAAATATATTTTGAGATGCTAAAAAAATGCTTCATTCTTCATCGTTCCAGGGTAAACGCTTCCTATTCATTGTTTAGGAAGTCATTGTTCTTTTACATCAGCAGACAAGATGATGGCAAATAAGGAACAGATGGAATTCATTAGGCGCTTCTTTGCAGTATTTCATTGCATGTAAAATGTGTAGAAATAAATAGTTGGACTTATAATTCATTTTTTTTTTTTTCATTCCCTATTATTTTTATTTGCTTGAAAATCATTTATACCATATTTTTTTCTTTCTTTTTTTCGTTTTTTTTTTCTCTTTTTTTCTGGACCGGATGTTGTGAGTTTCTGATATCTTACATAATTGTTTGATTTGAAAAATGAAATGTATTTTGAAGGGAAGAAGAGGGTTATTTTAAAAATGGCTAGCTGTCGGTTTCTATTTTGTTGATCCTTGCATGAGTGTAGCGGCATTATCATCAAATTATTCACCCGAATTTTTCAACCCCTCTTTTTACGAGCTTTTCGTTCTCCGTTTTCATTCTTAATTATATATTTGTATTGCAAATGGAAATAGAAGCTGTAAATTTAGCTGATAAGACAGACAGTTTGAATGGCAGACGATGTGGACAACATATGATGATTATACGTTGCATTCCGTCAAGATACATTAATGAACACCATTAGTTTTTCTTTTCGTTAGAAATTTTTCATGTAAACAAAATTTTGCAAAAATATTTTAACATCATTTTTTTTTCTTTTTCAAAAAAGTGAGAACTGTCTGCGAGATTTCTGTCCTTAGTCGTAAGGATTAGTCTAAGGGAAGAGAGAAAGTAAGAATAGCTGATGAGTCAAGAATTTTGAAGTCTACGATGAGTCAGCAATGATTTAGCAGTTTTGGTTCATAAGCATATCGAAAACAGAAAAAAGAAAAAAACAGAAAAAAACAAAGGCGATTGATTAAATAGAAGCAGACGAATATAACATCTATGAAACACAAATTGAAGACTAAAATTTGCAAACAAAAAATCCAAAAGACTTGTGGGAGCATTATTTATTTGGCATAATCTATAGTGAGCATATCAGAAGCTCTGTGGAAATTTTTCGTGGACTACTGTTTTTTTTTTTCAATTTCAGGAACGTTTGGTACCGAAGGAAGAGAATGAAAGGTGGATTCGAGCACCGCCTAATTGTAACCCATTCGATATGCGTGCATCATTCACGTGCTCCTCATTATCATGTCGAGTTCCAGTTACTGAGGCTACTTATGGACGTAGTAGGCTTAATACGGCGACCGGTATTGAACGACCAAATTCTGGTGGTAGTGCAGCGATGATTGTTCGAGGTAATAGATGTCATAGTCGGAAGTGTACCGAACAGGTTCGAAGTAATGATAGCTTACTGACAGACTGTCGACAGCATGAAGATGGTTGTTTCTCGTCACATTTACGATGGCTTTCAATGAAAGAATTTAAAGAGAATCGTTCACAATTTGATTCACGTCCGGTTGTTTATGTTCCAGTACTTTGCGAAACAGTTTGTGATACAAATACTCATTGTGCCGTTACAAGCAATATGAAAAATGATGATAGTAATAATCATATCAGCAAACCGTCATCATCATCATCACCGTCACCATCATCCTCATCATTGTTACAGCAAACATCTACTACCACTTCCCCTGCTAAGTCTACATTTGCATCTGCTAATAATGTAGATATTGTTGTTAGTGGTTGTACATTAATTCCAATGAATCATAGTACGGATATGATTACACATCGATCGACGAGCACGAAATCTGAAGAGGAGGAGGAAAAGGTTGAAAAAATAAAGGATGAAATTATCACGGGTCTCTCATCTCAATTAGTACTTCTTTTGTTTGTGTAGTAACGGAGGGTTGTGGAAAGATATGGAAATAATAATAATAAGCATAGAATAGCAACTGAAGCCACCTTTCCGAAAAAATGGATCTGTTGGAATTTCTAATTTTCAAGATCGTATAGAACCCAAGGGAAGAGAAAAATGTAAAGGCCTCTTTAATGTAGGTGTATGGAAGATGGAACAAAGTTCTTGTATTGTTTTAAATAAACGTGTTTGTTTGTTTCGATATTGTTTAAAAATTGGCAAATGAAAGGTTAAAACAAAAAACAGCAAAAAATAGTGGAATTTATTCAATGGAAATCTCATTCCTTGTCCATCCTTCATTTGGTATTTATTTAAAAAAGGCATCATTTAATTGATTTGTTGAAAAACATCATTAAGCAGCACTGTTTTTTCTGTCTTATTTCTTCTGTTTCCTCTCTACCTTTACTCTGTCTCTTGTCTAGAAATTTATTCTTACTTTCCATTATTTAGATTTAGTTTACACTAGTTTTTATTTGCATGTTTCAAATTGACAAATTTATTTGTAAAAATACATGACATATATAAACATATACATATATGTCATGTATATTATATATTTATATTGTGTTGTTGAATATTAGCATTTTTGAAGTGTAAGAAAGAATTATACACCGTTTCAAAACACACACGTTTCATTTGCGGAATAAGATTTGGAAATTGTATTTTTTTTTCTTCATCGATTAAGATGTGAAACATCATTTAAGCTAAATGGGTTTACTCTAAGATGAAAGCATGATTAATTGCTACTTTTTAGTGGATGCTTATTGCAGCGAGGGAAATATAAGCATGAATTAAGAGCATATTGTGATATAGATTATGAAAAATCTATCGTAGCAATTTACTATATGGAATTTGAATTATTGATCAGGTAAGCATCTTAAATTTGCTTATCTGCAGGAAAACATTTCCTATGCTGGATGAATTACTGCATTTTATTCGCTAAAATAGTTTGACGAGATTGAGACATACAAAGATGTTCTATTGAGTCGTTGTTTATATAATGCATACAAAATCATTAAATGTTTGAAATAAAATTGACAAAGATTTATTCTATATGAATGTATAGATTAGATATAGATGGTTGTTACTACTGATGCTGATATCCATGCAAAATTGTGATTGAGTACAAAAATAATTTCTTTTTTTTTTTTGTATGTATGTGTGTGTGTGTGTGTGTTTGCTAAGCAACAATAATTGTGTTGGCAAGTATTGGCATTTTTTCGGTCTGTCGAGCGCAATCAGGAAAATTACATCGTAGTTTCTGAAATCATCAGACAAAAGAACTAAAGTACAAATTTATGTTGAAGGGACGATTTCAGCAATCCTTTGTTTGTGGCAAGATTTGGTTTCTTAGACTCATAGAATAGCAGTTCTCTTTGTTATTGTCTAGGGACAATATCTATAAAAAAACACTAAATTAACATTAACAAGTAAAAAAGAGAGTTAAAGGTCTATTTTCATAATGTAGGATAGAGAATGATTAATCGGTCGTTAGCATCATACACCAGTTAATAGTAATAGTAAATTGAAGATAAAGTGGGAAAGAGGAAAAAAAAGTTAAAATATTTGTTGGATTTTAGCTGCTGCAAATTTTAGATATTTTTCTATATAAAATTTAGATTCGCATTCTCAATCATTCGAAATTTGCAAATTTCCAATCTTCTTCCAAAATGAACCACAATCGTCTTGTAAATGAGGACAAAAGAAGCTTTCGAGACGACATTAATAAATTTTAATAAATGAAATACATACACATAAATAGCGATTGCAAAATTATAAATTCAAGGTGAAAGTTCAAGTAAACAATTCTTTCCGAGAGAGAGAGAGAGGGAAGCAAATTATATTTTAAGCCTTTACCCTGTCCTGGCCTCATCCCATCTCTCCCTATCTTGGCTACCACTTCATGCAGTTACGGTAGCGTTTTCGTTGTGAGACCACTTTGAGGAGTATTGATTGTTGGAGTGAAAAGATGCGGCGGCTAAGGGATGATTTGAATTCAAGATTGGATGATGGGAAGAGCGAAGATGAGGCGGCAATGGTCTCTGGGGCGGTAATGGTAATGGTAATGGTCATAATGGAAGATGGAAGATAGACGAGAGTTGAATATTTGTTAGATTAACTTCTCGAGAAGTTACACAAAGTTTCTCTCAGATTTTATTGCTCATTTAATTTAGCATAGAAGGGAAAATTATTACATTTCAGGGAAATTCCCGCAGGATTTAAGATTTTTCCACTACTCTCTCTCTCTCTCTCTGTGTGTGTTATGTGTATTCAGGAGCCAAAACTAATTAATAAGTTACAGAAGAGTTCATAGCAATCTCATTCTTTTTTTTTTGCTTTGATTTTTAATTCTATTGATTTATGCAAAATGTAATGCGTTTCTTTTTTTTTTTTTTTGATTGAAATTATAGTCATTATTATCCATATATTTTTTCTGTTTGTTTATTACATATTACTATTTATTAAAAGTTTTAATTTCAAACATTGATAATGTAGCAAATTTAATCCAGAATAAGAATATTTCATATCGAAACTATTTTTTCTATTAGGTATTATTAGTGATAAGAAAAGAAGTTAAGCTCATTTTTATTTGTATTATAAATAATTTTAGTTGTGTAATTTACGAAGCAAGAAATATTCGGCCAAAAGAAGCATTTACGTGGAGTGTATCTTTATGTATTTTTGTAAAGATCTTTTTCAATATTTCTGTGGTGAATCGAGAATTTTCTTTTTCCTTCAGAAATGTCAGTCAGAAAAGTACGTACGAAAAGCAGGGCAGCAGAAGAAATGGTCTGTCCTGCTACATCATCACCGTCTGGCGGTCAAAAAAAAGTAGTGGAATACTTTCGGACCATTCATCGTGATTCAGCCAAGAAATTTAAACGTCTTAAGGTATTTACCGAAAATGATGAGGTTAGTAGATTATAAGCTGAAATTTTCTTTTGAAGATTACACAAAGACTAATAGGTTTTCTTTGTTGTTTAATATGGTTGAGAAACTGCGTGCAATCCGGAAGAAATCCCGGTATTAGCCATTATATTGTTTGACAGTTTTAACAGTGTTTCAGAGCATTTTCTTCAGCTAAAATGTTTTCTTTCCATTATTTTTTTCCACTTAAGCTGCAGTTCTACATTGTACTATCTGCCGCACTTTTACAAAGAGTTATCATTATATCCTCTGTAGTCAAGGTGGATTTTGCATCTAAACAGTTGAATTTCTGGGTTGAAAATAATTTTTTGCAGACAAAAACTGTTAAACATACTTTGGAATCACCAAAAAAAGTGGCTCGTTTAAAATCACCGCAAATACCGGAAAAGGAAACTGACAGCGGTGATCAAGAATGGGTCTTGCCAGTGACATGTGAGACAGAGGTCGCCCGGAAGACTAATAAGGTAAAGGAGAATGATAATGATGCTAAATCCAGTTCGGAACCTGCGGGAAGCAGCAAGATCTCTAGGTGTTCAAGAAAGGAAATGACAGAAACTGATTCAAAAGAAAAGCGGGAACAAATGTATGATGAAATTAAGCATGATTTGGTGGATGTTGCTTTTGCGGTGCCCTACGAAACTGAAACGAATAAAGAAGATAAAATTGATTTGGAGTTAGTTTTATTTTGAATATAATATTAGTTTTTCGTAACGTCTACTTTTCTTAACTTTATTTTTAACAGTCGTTACGCATGACACTTTACTTTAATATAAGCTATGTCATTTCGTATAAGACCATCTCTAGGTTAATTTTTGGTTAAAATATGTCAGATACTGTATGCTGTTGTTTATTTTATAAAAATTGCATATAATTTTTTAACACATTTTAATGATGTAAGCTTTAGCATTTTACCAAGCGCAGTAAAATTGGTCGAAAGCATCAAAAACAGCACAGATTCGAGTGTAATTGATACATTTCCACTTCCTACAAAATATGAACGTTTACTACGCTTTTTCGATTACACAGAAATGGCAAGTTACTTTTTGAAAGTATTTTAAGAAAAATAAGCTAATTAAACAGAAAAGCTGTTTTAGTTTTGGACAGATCAATCTGATCAATCTTAATTTATTTGTTTACTTAGAAATTGTTAATCTGTGTAGTTTAAACAATTAATTGGTATGGTTCAAAATTTTTGGTTTCGTTTCAAATCTGAATTTATGCCACTGTACAATGAAAAGTTTTTTATACTTGTGTAATATTTGCAATAGAGATGGAGCATTCAAAAATGCTGTCAATAAAAAGTTGGTTCTTCTTACATGGTAGTAAGAATATCAATGAGGCTAGATATGCATTTTTAGATTTCAGAATCAAGTTTTAGTCGATTTAGGTTGTTTCTTGGTTGGAAACGCAAGGGAAACGAATCACATTGAATGAAGTGATGACTAATGTTCAGCGTCAATTGAAAAGGTATTCAATTGATCTGCATGTAAAAAGTGATTTGAATAATGAATGGATTTAAAATGATTCATACTGTATTTCTTGCAGTTAAAAAAGTTTCGATGTAGTTGGATGAATTTTTAGCAACTACGATGAGCAGCAGTTTGCAATGATACTGTCGATATATCCTGAATCGTATAACATTCGATGTGAGCGACGTTGGATGCCGATTGGTGGCAGACATTGTAATCACAAAGAATATGAATATGTGATTGAACCAAATCTTGTCAACGGTAACATAATTTTTTCAATGTTAAATACTTAATCCTTCAAAATCAAGTTAAATAATCTTTCAAAAGTTTACGATTTCGAATGGAACTGAAATTGAACGTAAGAACAAAATCATTTTTAGGAAGGAAAGAATCACCATATTTTTCTTTTTGTTTTGCAGACCTTGTTCTTCCACAGAAAAAACATGTAAAAGAAACTTCTTCATCGAAATCTTCACCGGTCAAATCAACATTGGGTTCACCTTGCAAAGTTCCTTTAGTTTCACTTGCCCGGAATCCAATACCCTCGTCACCTAGAAGAGCTATAATGAAATCACCAACCAAATC